AATGCCAAACCGCTTCAGAGACGGCTCCTTACCGGTAGGGGAAAGGCTGTGTGCAATGGCCACCCCTGTACTGGTTTACTCCAAGACAGTACAGTAACGGCTTTAAAAGGGTAATCTGACATTCCTCTGTGTCACAGAGACCTGTTGTTTTGCTTTATTTCATGTAGAGGGGTACATGCTTAGTGTGTGTGGAGGTAGTTGACTGTTATTTCTTGCAGGCAAGTACCATGGGGTGATTGGGTCTTGATCTTTAGCGCCTTTGCTTGAACACAATATATCTGCAATCTCCACACTTTCACCTCCAGTCCTAACAAAGCTCGTGTTCAGTATGATATTCTTCAACGTCTCAATAAACTAAACTTTCTTCAAAGTGAGTGGTGTTGAGAACTGATTTAACCAGGATTCTGACATGTGGAAACAAAAAATACCCCAAGATAATTACAGGGGTGAACTTGCGTGTAGTGTAGAATGTACGTTCGGGAACAGGGTTGAATCAGGATTTCAGGTCTAGTGTGTGAAGGACCAATCTCAACTAGGAATGGAAGGAGGAAAGGAGGAATCAAGCCAGAGAGGACAAGCTATGCCATATTAAAGAAGATGTCTTGTCACAGGCTGCCTAAACTCTCATGGCCTGAACAAGGAATTTAGCTAAGAAAATAATACTTGTTGATCTAGAAGCCATTAAAAACTTAACACTAAAATATCGAAGACACATGAGTGGCTTGATCCATTTCTCTCTAGTCTCCTTGTACCATGGGCATTCAAACAGAACATGCTTCACAGTTTTCTATGAACACTTAACCACAATCACAATCTGTTTGCAAATGGTATGCCTGATATATGGCCTTTAGAGATCACAGGTAGTAGCGCATTTAATCTTGCTGTGCCTGCCTGTCTTTTGGAACAGTAAGGCTAAATGAGTATTTGGGGATTATTATTATTTTTGTAAAAATCTCCAAAATGATATCCTTCCCACATAGCATGGGGAAGCAAATGCTGGAAGCACTCTTGTTATATTCATGGTGTCACTGGATTTCTGTTTTATCTTCTTAATCAAACCTTAACAAAACCTTCTTAATAAAACCTAAATTCATTTAAAATTCCTGATGTGATAACAGACATAGCCATGTAAGCATTTACCTTCCACAAATGGAAATGTGAAGGCATTTACACCATAGCAGGAAGGGACCTGGAGACTCGGGGAAGGTGTGAGTTGCCACATGGTCTATGTTTTTTTTTTTCTTTCTGGAAGAAAAGGTAGAAGAGAGTTGGTTTTTACACTCTGCTTCTCTCCCCCTTAAGGAGTCTCAAAGTGGCTTACGATCCCCTTCCCTTCCTCTCTCCACAAGACATACCTTGTGAGGGGTAGGAGGGGCTGAGAGAGAGCTGAGAGAAACCGTAACTGGCCCAAGGTCACCCATCAGACTTCCTGTGGAGGGGAAATAGGGATTCAAGCTCTAATTCTCCAGATTACAGTGCTCCTCCCATAAACACTATGCTTAAACGGCCCAGGGGGGCATCTTCTTTTAGGAGTGGAGGTTACATGGACCAAATCTCTTCACAAGGCTGGAAGTCTGCCACTGGTGGAAGAGCTTTGGTGACCAGTTCTGGCAGCCATGATTGAGAATTCAACCGCTGACTTCTGGTTTTCGGCGACTTGCAAACGAATGCACTCCATTAAGCTCCGATGGGTGTGATTTGGATTGAGGCGGCAGGGAGGGGGCTCAGAAGTTTTTGAGCCCCCCCACGAAGCTCTTGGAGGGAGCTTCTAGCCTGGAGCGCTGAAGGAGCCACTCCCGAAGCCGCGGCTGAAGGATTGAGGCTCTTTTTTGCTCCTTAAGGTCCCACTGCCCCGAGGCCAGCAATGGTGCCCAGAGACATTACCGGACACGAGCATGCAAAGACTTAAGCAAAAGGACTCTCCCTACGGGAAGACACCCAGCGGAGAAAAAAAGTGAGTGAAGAAGTTTCAAAAGAAAGACAAAAGCAAAGAGGGTGGGGGAATGGACAGAGAGACGGCAAAGCCCCATAGAGAAAGGGGGGGAGCTCCCGGGAGGAAGAACCCTACCCTACAGCGTTAAAAGCAGCGAAACGGGAAGTAAGCTGGCAATAAGTTGTTAGAAACACACCCAACCCAAGCAGATCGCAGCGGGACCTGCTATTTAGACCAGAGAAGAATCTCAGAACTTTTAAGAACTTTTACCTTAATGTAAACAATGTCACAGTGAGGGGTTAAAATGGCATCTAGAGGCAGAGGCACCACTAGAAGCACCAGCACAGCATCACCAGTCACAAGACCGGAAACTACCACCTATATAGCTGGTATGATTTTGGAAGTCTTGCGCCCCCTGCTGGATCAGCTGAGAAACATCAACAAGAAGTTTGATGATTTGCAGAAGGAGTTGAAGGAGACCAAAGTTAAATAGAGAAGACGGATAAAAAGCTAAAAAGGTTGAAACTAAGACCAAAGAAATGGATCAAAGAATGGACATTGCAGAAAAAGAAAGAGCTTCTGAAAAACAACAGCTATTACAATTACAAGTGGAACGATCCCTATATGTTTTAAGATTTCAGTGGGGTACCGGAAAAAAAATATGAAAATTTAAGAGAAGTTTTAAGTGAAGCATCGGCTCCCCTTGATCAACAGCAAACCTGAAATATTGCAAGCGGACATAGACATGATTTGTTGAACTTATTCAGAGTTTGTGAAAAAAAATAATCTTCCAGGGGAAATATTTGTTAAATTTGCAAAAAGATCAACAAGAGACTTGATACTTAAAAGTGTCTACTGCCACACCATTAAAAATCCAAGAGGAAGAGATAAAAATACTGAAAGATGTTCCATTTGAAATATGTAAGAAACATTACAACATTTCTTCAAAAGAACAATGTCCAATATCGATGGATTTTACCAAAAGGTCTTATATTCAACTACAAAGAGAAGAAGGAAAAGATTGACTCTCTCGTTAAAGCAGAAACATTCCTGGAGCAGCATCAAATGCCGACAAAAAAAAGAAAAGAAGCAGAGGAGAAGAAGGCGACAGAAGAAAACAATGATCATCAGGCGTCAGACACTGACAGCTCCTCATCGACTTCAGCGTCCCTGGGTGCAATCCTTGACTCTGACTGTGATTCTGATTTGGGAGCTGCGGCCCCCAGACCTTATAAGGTTAAAATCCCAAGCAAAAGAAGAAGAAGCGCAAAGACAAGAAAGCATCCAAATGAAGATCTGAGATCTTTTTATGTTAAAACATAAAGAATTTATATTATTGCCCATATGCGATACTAAAGTTAAGAAGCTTTTGTTCTTTCTATTTGAATACTTCCTACTTAGAAATCAAATGATATATTGTTAACATGAATAAGTAGGGAAATATCCAAAGTGCAAATTAGTTCATTAATGTACCTTGCTACTCTGATTTTGTAGTGTTTAGTTTTGTAGTTTATACTGAAAAGCAATAAAAATTTTCCAAAAAGAGAGAGAGAGAGATAGAGAGAGAATTCAACTGATTCCGGTACCTAGTAAGAAAATGAAAACTCCTTGCTGGCTGGGGATTTCAGAGAATTCTGAGGAAGTTTTTTTTTTTTTAAGTGTTAAATATATTTTTCAATAAATTCACTCTGCATATATTTTTTAAAAGGTATCTTTCCTCATATGGCAGATTTTTCAAAAGTAATTGATAGGCGTAAGAAGAACATTGAAAGTCATTCCAATCTTGTGTTTCCAGATGGCTTCTTCCTGAAGAAATGTCTGCACCAAATAGGAAAGTGGGTGCCAGAAGTATTACGACACACAGAAGGGCTGTGGTGGGCAAGTAAGTCCCAAATATCAAATAAATTTCAAATATCAAGCTCCAGTCTGGCATTATGTGGCATTTTGAAATCACAAAAAAGTCAGATCCTCGACTAAGTTGGAGAAGAACAAATGCAAGCCTGGTTGATAACTGTTCTGTTTGTGAAACCAGGATTAGCTTCCAGACGATCACTTGGATCCTGGATTTCTTGCCTTTGTTCTGGATGAGTATCTCTGTAGCGGGCAATGCACCAGGGCCAGCGTCAGCAAACAAGCCCAGAAACCTGCCTCTGTGTGTGTCGTGTCTGGTAAACAGTCGTTAAATTTAACCTTGGTTATTAAACAACTTCAAACCCTGGTCAAGGGAGCCTAACGAACCATAGTTAGTGGAGCGGGTGAAGGTCAGAGAAGCACAGTAGTCCTCATTACTGAAACCAGGTTTTTGTGTTATGTCTGAACCGAGCCAAAGGGAAGGAAAGTTGGCAGCTCCAGGACGGGAAATACCTGGAGCTTTTGGGGGTGGAGCCTGAGGAGGGCGGGGTTTGGGGAGGGGAGGGGCTTCAGTGGGGTATGGGACCATACTGTCCGCCTTCCAAAGCGGCCATTTTCTCCCAGTGAACTGATCTCTATGGAAGATCAGTTGTAATTCCAGGAGATCTCCTGCCACCACCGGGAAATTGGCAAGCCTATCATAAGGGACGGAATATGAGAAAATGGAACAACGGGGACTCGGATTGTGTCTCATACCTTTTTCCCCGGCTGGGAAAGTCAACCAGACTGCTTAAGAATGCCACGAAATAAATGATTGGCCTGATTACCAGCTTGTTCTTACAACTGCAGCCACTGTTCTTCTCCACCGCTGGCTCGTTCTTGCGTATTAACCCATCCCTGTTTGGATGCTGCATTTATCAAGGGGATGTATCTCAGTCCCTTGCCAAGCCAGAAAAGGAAAGGAGTTGGCACAAGTCTTCCTTTACGTAAACGCACATCTATCAGCGCAGCCTAAATGAGCTTGTTCCTGGGTCCGTGTGTGTGTTTAAAAAAAAAAAACTCTTCTGAGCAAGATCTGGCTTGCTGCCAGAAGGTGTGTCAAGATAAGTAAATAAGGCATGAAAGCCTACAATTATGTAGTAATAATCTTTGGAAGGCCTGTAGGTGTGTCTCTGAGGGTATAAATGGCACCGAGGCCGCAGAACATTGGAAGAGACAGGATTCACCTTGAGTTTTCTATTTGGGGGGAACACGCCAAAGATAAAGCGAGAGGTATGTGTTACAGCTGGCTTGCACTTTCTGTCTGCCGTAGAAACCAAAATCTCTCCGACAGGTGAGGCTTAAGAGTGCCATTCTAAGCAGAGGCACTCTGTTTTAAGTGCACTGACTTCCATGGACTTGGGAGGGTGTAACTCTGCTTAGTTTCCTGGCACCGTTTGCTTCCTAGCTGCTGAATGAGAGCCAGATGACACGTTAACATGCCCTTGGTGTGTCTGTCCACTATATTTTCTTTTTACTGAAAAATAGGCACAGAGAATGCTGTTCCCTTCCCACCAAAGCGGTACCTATTTATCTACTTGCAATTTCTTGCTTTCGAACTGCTAGGCTGGCAGGAGCTGGGGCCAGAGACAGGAGCTCACTCCGTCACTAGGCACTCGGGTCTAGAACTGCTGAACTACCGACCTTCCGGTCTGCAGTTCAGCATCTTAACCACTTGAGCCACATGACACCGGAAATGTCTTTGGACAGCGCTGGCTCTTCGGCTTCGAAACGGAGATGAGCACCGCATCCCTAGAGTCAAATTCGACTGGCTTTCGAGCAAGGGAAACCTTTACCTTTATCTTTACCTTTACCTTTCTAGCTGTTTGTGCCTTCAAAGGTGCCCTGCCCAAATGGATTTTCTCCATTATATTTGTAATAGATATTGTATTTGTAAAATATATTGTATTTATCTTTTCCTCCAGGAAAGCAAATAGTGTGAAGCGAAACAGCCACTCTCCATCACTTCAGCCTCTGCTTTTTCAGGAAAAGAGAAGTAATGCAGGGATGTCACTTGTGATTTGGCTCTAATAAGAAGGACCTCTGGATGTCACTACTGTGCTTGGTGAAGCTACTTAAACCCTGTTGAGTTCAGTGGAATAGGCAGCCCAAGCCTCTACACATTTGCTCAGAAGTAAGCCACACTGCGTTCAATAGGGTTTTCTGGAGAATAATATTGCAGCATTTATTTGAAGAATTGCAGCTGGCCTTTGCTACTAAAACTGGTCCATCACCCTGGACTGAGATGACCCAGTTTTTTAGTTTGAAGACTGCAGTATTAGATTGTCCTTCCCTGATTTTAAAAGGCTGTTCTAATTACGTAGCAAGGCTCACATGAGTATATTTTGCCTTCTGCTAATGTGAACGCTTACTTATTTGGAAACTGTCTGTTGGAGAAGGTGTAGTAGCATTACAGAAGTGAAAGTGTGCGCAGATAATGGCACATTTCCACAACGCAGCACCAAGTGCTACTTCGGATCATCGTTGCCACTTCTTCCAGCTCTGTGGATAGTCAAGCGGATCCACGGCTGCAGGTTTTGTAGCAGCAGAACAGATGGCAGATCAGAGAGGTGTCTATGGAACCCCTCTCAAGGAGGCAAACTTGTTTCGAATCAGCATGTGCTTCATTTCAGTTTTTGCTGTACATTTTCATGTTTTTCTAGAGAGAGAGAGAGAGAGAGAGAGAGAGAGAGAGAGAGAGAGAGAGAGAGAGAGTGTGTGTGTGTGTGTGTGTGTATGGTCTGATTGTATCTGCATAACATATTTAGAATACTTCTATCCCCATGACTGTGTGGACATAAATCCAAGTGAGTTCAGTGGGACTTATTCCTAAGTGAGTGTTGTCGGCTTCACAGCCTTCCATGATTATTGAGAGGCCCATTTTGACCCAGGGAGCCAGATGTTGTGGCCTATAATGTCATTCCAATGGGGCCTGAGGAACGGCAAGCTGCAGTTTTCTTCTGGGGCAAGAATACCAAGTCAGTATTTAAAAACCTGCACATTTTACTGGTCATGTGAATAGCCCTAATGAAAGTGGATAGATTAGAACCTGGGAAATCACAGAACCCAGATTCCCCCCCAGGTTTGCAGAAACATTGACCCCCTCCCCATCCTAGGTTGGCCCTATTATGAGGGTTTTTTAAAAAAATCTACATGGTAGGGCCAAATTGAGAATTAGCTATTTGATTCTGCCTCCATTAAGGCCAAACCAAGTCAGATTATGCTTTTAATTTTATGTTAAATTCTATTACTTTTCTATTACTTACATTTAAGCTGAAACTCTCATTGGCTTGCTAATAGTTAGATATGGCTTTTGTTCCTATCAAGTGTACATGTTTCTTCACTATTCTTCTCTTTCCTTGTTCATCTGAAGTGGGCTGTAGTGTAGATATGCCCTAAATTTAGTGTTTGCTTTGTTTTTTAAAGAATAGATTCTTTAGCCCTGTCAAAATGTTTGTGGCATGTGCTAATGGGGTTGTTCCCACTTTCATCCCCTCTATTTGTTATGGTATAATTAGTACACACTATATGTATCCTGCAAAAACTCGATCATACATCAAGGAGTCTGTATGCATTTGGGTCTCTGGATGAGTCTTTGGTGTAGTGATTAAGTGTGCAGACTCTAATCTGGGAGAACCGGGTTTGATTCCCCACTCCTCCACTTGCACCTGCTGATGTGACCTTGGGTCAGTCACAAGCTCTGGCACAGCTGTTCCTGAAAGAGCAGTTTGTGTCAGAGTTCTCTCAGCCCCACCCACCTCACAGGGTGTCTGTTGTGGGGAGGGGAAGGGAAAGGAGTTTGTCAGCCGCTCTGAGACTCCAAGTGAAGGGCGGGGTATAAATCCAATCTCTTCTTCTTCTTCTTCTTCTTCTTTATAGGGGTCTAGGATAGGGCCAGAGTAAAGATGTAAAATTTCTAGACATTCTGATGCCATAGGGAAAAATGGAATTTTATGGGGGTTGAAATATTATTCGTATTCCTAATATTCTTATTACTAGATTCTGGTGAGTAGCCCTGTTGGTCTGAAGCAGCAGAACAAAGTTTGAGTCGAGTGGCGCCTGTAAGACCCTGCACATGGAAGTTTATACCCAGAAATAAAACTTTGTCGGTCTTAAAGGTGCCACTGGACTCAAACTTTGTTCTGTTCCTATTAAACCTAAAGCTTTTTTGCTGTCTAATGGCATAAAATGCACCACTTATTACTTAAGTGTATAAAATTGTATAAAACTAGTTGGCATATTTGTTGAATTTAACAGTATGAATGCCTTAGTTTTCTGCAAGCCAAAGTGCAAACATACTGGTACTAGAGCAGTGGTTCTCAACCTGTGGGTCGCGACCCCTTTGGGGGTCGAATGACCCTTTAACAGGGGTCGCCTAAGACTATCGGAAAACAGTAGCAAAATTACAGTTATGAAGTAGCAACGGAAATAATTTTATGGTTGGGGGTCACCACAACATGAGGAACACAACATTAAAGGGTCGCGGCATTAGGAAGGTTGAGAACCACTGTACTAGAGTGAGAAAGAGGTGCCAACTGTGCATCCAGGGTTCTCTTAGTGCATTTCACTCAGGGGCGGATGAAGGCTCACTGGTGCCCTCAGCAGTGACCCATCTTGGTGCCCCCTCCTTTCCACACTGACCCCCAGTCCGTTTTAGTGGTTGACCTGTCGGACCAGATATACAATGCAGGTTGCAGCAATACAAAAATTTATTCCTAGGATAACACAATAGACTGTACAAACTAAGCTTTTCACCCTTTTCCCAACTTTGTGGTGCCCCCTTTGGCCCTGGTGCCCTAAGCATGTGCTTAGTCCGCTTCATGGTTAATCTGCCTGATTTCACTCATTCCAGAAGGAAAACAGAAGTCCATTTCATAAGAGTTCTTTCAGTGCTCTCTCAAATGGCAACGGAAATAATTTTATGGTTGGGGGTCACCACAACATGAGGAACACAACATTAAAGGGTCGCGGCATTAGGAAGGTTGAGAACCACTGTACTAGAGTGAGAAAGAGGTGCCAACTGTGCATCCAGGGTTCTCTTAGTGCATTTCACTCAGGGGCGGATGAAGGCTCACTGGTCCCCCCAGCAGCCGAATCTGGGCTGGCAGGTTGGGGGCCCCTAGAGTGGTCAAACCTCCCCCCCCCCCGGCCCGGGGATCTGGCAGCCTTAACAGCCTTGCTCAAGTTTTGCAGACTGAGGGCCTGGCTTCCTTGACTGAGTCAATGATCCAGGGCTTTTTTTCTGGGGGAACGCACTGGAATGGAATTCCAGAACCTCTTTGACAAAATTCTTTTAATGATGTTTAAAAGTTCATGAGTTTTCAGTATACAGACTGAAAACTTCATTTCTCTCTTGGGAGTTCTGGCACCTCTTTTTCAGGAAAACCCCCGCCTCCGAGTCCATCCGTCTTACACTTCAACTTACATTTAGCTTAAATTAATTCAAGAATTAAGAACTCAGGCAAAGAAAGGGTCAAAACCTTACAAGTTATGTCTGCATTTCCAACACAGGTTGTCAAAAGGACCAGGAACCATGAAGATCGGATGCCTTGCCCTGCTCTGCACTCTGCTTGTGTTCTCTCAGATACTCCACACTGACTGTGAAAGACAGAACGAGAAAAATAAAGCGCGGACACACGCAGGTAAAGGTGGAAGGCAAAAGTCCAATCCCCAGACTGGAAAGGGTCAGAAAGGTCGAGGACAGAAAGGCGCCCATAAAGGCAAGTTTATCAGCAAGGAGAAGTCTCCGTGCACCTGGACACTGAGTGAAAGCGAGACTGCTGCCTTAAAAATAGATTGCAAGAAAGAGGACCGCAACGTCTCCTGTGTGTTTTCAGGCAACCCTTCCGCCTGCCCGCAGTATTCAGAAAACAGGAACATCTTCTGGAAGCAAATTACCAGGTCTCTCAAGAAGAAGAAGAACATCTGTGAGGACCCAAAAGATATTCTGAAATCTTCAGTCTGTAGGATGGGACCCGCAAGCGCTCACCTTCGACTGGAAAGCCCACAAGATTCCAAACAAAAGGATCCAGTTCCCCATGGGAGGGAGGCCTCCTCGGCAACAGCATCTCCTAACGCTCCCGGAAATCCACCAGAACGAGGCTCCAGAGATTGTGTCGAAGATGTAGACTACATTGATCAGAAAAAGGTGGCTGAAGAATACTGCTCAGAGTTATGGCTCTCTCTCTGTCACTTTTTCGTTACGTTAGTACAAGATAAAAAGTGTAAGTAAAACACAAGGAATCTTGGTAGCTAAATTATGCTGCCTGAGATACTTAGCTCAGACAACGCAAGGTTCAAGGTCGAAACCATTGTAAATAGTCCTTCATTTTATTATAGCTCTGGTCAGCATACAGGTCTGCTTTGAGGAGTGGAAGGATCCCTCACCCCACTTCAAGCTGAATTGCGGACAAATCCCATGATAATAACTACTGCCCCCAGGGGCGGATGAAGGCACACTGGTGCCCTCAGCACTGACCCATCTTGGTGCCCCCCCTCCTTTCCACACTGACCCCCCAGTCCATTTTAGTTGTTGACCTGTCTGACCAGTTATACAATGCAGGTTGCAGCAACTGACAACTGAATTTGGCTCCATCATTTTACTTTTAAACACATGCATTTTATTTTTAAACATAGCCTATGACACTGCACCTCGCCAACAAAAAATAGAAGAGAACCCTAGGGTGCACCATAATCAATTTGCACTAGTTTTATCAAAACATTTTTTTTTAAAACAAATCTTCATTCGCTTTTTTTCTTTTCACCCTTTTCCAAACTTTGTGGTGCCCCCTTTGGCCCTGGTGCCCCAAGCACGTGCTTAGTCTGCTTCATGGTTAATCCGGCCATGCCTGCCCCCCCCCCCCCGCCCCGTCTCTTTTACCTGCATGTTGTCAACTCGGGAAGGGAGGGGGATCAGATTATACAAATCAGTGGGCCAGTTTTAACCCAGGAGTAGCTAGCTAAAGATCTCTACTTCAAACTGTGTAGATAAGAGGTAAATTGTCGAAGTGAACATTTAAACATTTTTTCAAAGCTCCCCCCCCCCCCGGAAGGCAGAGGCTACAGAGAGAAAATCATTTATATAAGCATGGTATGCAATTGTTACCTTTGGATGTTACAAACTCTGTAAAAATGTATATAATATCTACCGTTGCCTCTCCTCACACCTCTCCTGATATTTCTTGCCAAACTGATGATTTCGTTGCTATGCACTTTTTGATACTTTGGAATGGCGAAAAATAAAAGTTATTTGTCTTTTAAAGCTTATTGTATTTTTCTGCTGTGTGTGAATTATGGGTATATAATCTAATATCCAGGGCTGCGGTGGCTCAAGTGGTTAAGATGCTGAGCTGCAGACCAGAAGGTCGGTAGTTCAGCAGTTGGAGACCCGGGTGCCGCATGATGGAGTGAGCTCCCATCTCTGGTCCCAGCTCCTGCCAACCTATCAGTTCAAAAGCAAGACATTGCAAGTAGATAAATAGGTACCGCTTCGGTGGGAAGGTTCCATGTGCCTTGGCATCTAGTCATGCCGGCCACATGACCACGGAAACATCTTTGGACAGCGCTGGCTCTTTGGCTTGGAAACGGAGATGGGCACCGCATCCCTAGAGTCGGATTCAACTGGCTTTCAAGCAAGGGAAACCTTTACCTTTAATCTAATATCCAGTTCTGAAATTTCTATCTCACTGTCATCTTCAAGCTAGGGTTGCCAATCTCCAGGTGATGGCTGGATTACAGCTCCATCTCCAGACTATAGAGATCAGTTCCCCTGGATAAAATGGCTGCTTATAAAGTTCTGTTATAAAGTTATAAAGTTTCATTATAAAGTAAAATCCTCTTAGAAAGATTCCGGCAGAAGTTATTTTGTAAGTACTAAAAGGCAGCTGCTGCTCCTACAATTTTAACTCCAATTTAACTCTCCTCCAACTACAGTTTTAACTCCCATCTGCCACAGAATACATTTTACTTGAAGAAACCGGGTTCAGGTATTTATTGGACCAGCTGCATTACTACAGGATGTATAATGTCGGAAACCGTGATTTTAATGTATTGTATGTTGTTTTACAGGTATTGTTTTACTGTTTTACTGTTGTAAGCTGCCCTGAGCCGCTTCGGCGGGAGGGCGGGATAGAAATCAAATAAATAATAATAATAATAATAATATACCACTGAAGAGCAACATCAAAGATCACTACAGTAACGTGGGAACATCAGTATACTGGGACCTTTGTTACAAATCTCTGTGTACACAACTCCAGGGCGTCTTCCAGTAAAAACAACTTGGGTGGTGTTCTAAAGAACCACGGGGATCATCCTTGTTTGCACAGTTAAGCCAGTAACTGAGATAAGGGAATCCCCAGGCCACTGATTATTATTATTTTTGGGAAGACAGCAGAGATGCCAGGGCTGTAAACTGAAACACAAGTTCCCTAGAGAGAGATGTGTGAGGCCCAGCTGTAGTTATGGGTGGAGAAACGTGTGACATATATCTTGCATGTCCCAGGATTCGGTTGTGGCATTCAAAGCCAGCTGTGGGAATGACTCAGAATAAACCATGTTTTTGGTGGGGAGGGGGGGGAAGGACTCCACCTCAAGCACTGTGACACGTGGCTGAGAAAGGTTCATTAAGGTGGTGTCGTAAACCGGTGGGATTGGCACACAGAGAAGAAATACAGTGGCCCAGGCTAGCCTGGTCTCATCAGATCTCGGAAGCTAAGCAGGGTCGGCCCTGGCCAGTATTTGGGATGGGAGGCCTCCAGGGAATACCCAGCTTTGTGGTGCGGGGGCAGGCAACGGCAAAGCGCCTCTGAACCTCTCTTGCCTTGGAAACCCTCCGGGGGTTGCCGTAAGTCAGCTGCGACTCAACGGCACTCCACACCATCACTTTTTTTTCTTTTTTTTTAATTATTTAAAAATATGACAAAATTTACATTAAAAATAACTTCAATAATCCCCCGGGTTCCCCTCACCCCCCCCATAATTAAAAAAAGGTTCATAAAGGCTCAGCGGCAGCCTTCACATAACCTTCGTAATTCTTCCTTCTCGACAGGGAAGCTGCAGACCTGTAGTGCTGGGAAGGGAATAAAACTGAACCAGGAAATCAGAGAACAATAAAATGAAAATAGTACAGTACAAGGAAAATACTGCTTGCATATGTATCCCCTCTCCTAGCCAGTTTGGTGTGGTGGTTAAGTGCGTGGACTCTAATTTGGGAGAATTTGATCCCCCACTCCTCCACATGCGGCTGTTGGATGACCTTGGGCAAGCCACAGTTCTGCCAGAGCTGTTCTCAAAAAAGAGTAGTCCTCGAAAGAGCTTTCTCAGCCCCACCGACCTCACAGGGTGTCTGTTGTGGGGAGGGGAAGGGAAAGGAGTTTGCAAGCCACGCTGAGTGAAGAGTGGGGTATAAATACAATCTCTTCTTCCTATGTTAGCCTCACAACAATTTTATGAATTACATTTGCTGAGAGAGATTGTCTAGTCTATCTCTTCATGAGAAAGGGCAGAGCTAAGAACACAAGAACATGTTGGATCAGGCCAGTGGCCCATCCAGTCCCACACTCTGTCTCACACAGGGGCCAAAACCCAGGGGCCACCAGGAGGACCACCAGTGGGTCCAGAACCCCAGAAGCCCCCCCACTGTGGCCCCCTAAGCACCACGAATAGAGAGCATCCCTGCCCCAGACAGAGTGTTCCATCTACACCTTCTGACCAATAGCCACTGATGGACCTCTGCTCTCTATGTCTATCCAATCCCCTCTTGAAGCTGCCTATGCTTGTAGCTGCCGCTGCTTCTTGTGGCAGTGAATTCCATGTGTTAATTGCATAGGGCTTCCATGAATGGAGCTTGTGGTGTTGATTTGTAAATGATATGCCTGGAGGGCGATGATGCCTATCAGGACTGGAGCACAAAGGAAGGAAGGGCTGAGACTTTGGTTCTCCAGGTACCCTCATGAGGCGGGCACCCTGCACTCTTGTCCTGATGGAGCAAAACAGCATCACCCCAGGGCCATTTCAGATCAGGAAAATGGCTCAGGAGGGAAAGGCTTATTTGTTTCTTTTTACCTCAGATTTTGAGGCAGTGGGGTCAGAAGGTGGCTTACAAAATGCTACAAATACAATTTAGATAAGCCGTGAACACCAGCAGCATCATAAGCACAGCTTGGCTTCCCCTGGGATCCGCTGGCCCTTCTCCCTCGGGGCCACAGGTGATAAGGCTCTTGCCTTTTGACTTGCCCGGCTGTCCACACCCAGGCTGAATACCTGCTCCCGAGGAGGGACAGAAAGCTCAGCCATATCTCAGCTGCCGTCCCGGTGTTCCCGAGCTTCCCCTCTCCTGCTTGAAATCGCCTCGTAGTGCAGCCCCAATCAGAATCAGGGGGCCTGTGCACATTACTCTTAAAGGGGAAAACACCATGCATGGACCTCCCAGTGTCTGTATAGTTGAGTCCCACCAGACCAGCACTTTCTTCAGTGCACTCTGCTCGTTTTAGTGCTCATTAACATACATGTCATCTTCCTCAACTTCCTTCCTTCCTTCCTTCCTTCCTTCCTTCCTTCCTTCCTTCCTTCCGTTTGGTGTAGTGGTGTAGTGGTTAAGTGCGTGGACTCTGATCTGGGAGAACCAGGTTGGATTCCCCACTTCTACACTTGCAGCCGCTGGGTGACCTTGGGCAAGCCATAGTTCTGGCACAGATGTTCTTGAAAAAGAGCAGTTTCTGTCAAGAGCTCTCTCAGCCCCACCGACCTCACAGGGTGTCTGTTGTGGGGAGGGAAAGGGAAAGGAGTTTGTAAACCACTGTGAGACTCCCTTGGCTAGTGAAGGTTGGGGTATAAATCCAATCTCTTCTTCTTCTCCCTCCCTCCCTTCTTCCCTAGTGTGGCTTTATCAGCCTTAGCCAAAAACCTAACCACATCAATATATTTTTTTTAATCTCCCTTTTCCCTCCTGAGTCCGTTCTAATTATAAAAGTTCTTTATTTTATGATGGATTACTAAAACATAAGCGGCCAAGGATTTAGTATCCTGCAGTAAAAAGGAAAAATCTTTCCTTGCTCATAAATTCTTCCTTTTCTAACAACAGGATTATCCAGCCTTTTAATTCAGGTGATGCTGTGGCATTTAATCTGGCAGCCAAAAATACTGCTGTATCTGGGTATAGTCAGAAATTTTAAATACGCCAGGAGGGTTACAGCAGGTTCTAGTGACTAGTCCATTATAGGAAAGAGACCACACCCGCCTTGCTCGCAGATTTGTATTTCTGAAATCTAACTCTAGCATCTTCTTTCTAACCTGTGCCAATGCTAATTTATGGTTCTCCACTGATAATAAAAAGGCCAAAGTGAAGCCTAGCTCTTGCTATCTTTGACCAGCTGACTTCTTCCAGTTACTCATTAAAGGAGTCTTCTTATGGTTTAAGGAGGAGTCTAGAAATATAAGTAAATAGAATCTTGTTCCTGAGTCTGAATTTGTGTAGACAAGCTGCTCATTCCAATGAAGGGAT